AAGGGGTGATGGTTTTAAGCTAAAAGAGGGGGGATTCAGGCAAGATATAAGGAAGAAATTTTTGACAATAGGGTGGTAAAACACTGGCCCAGGTTGCCCAGAGAGGTGGTGGATGCCCCATCCCTGGACACATCCCAGGTCAGGCTGGACGGGGCTCTGAGCAACCTGCTTGAGTTGAAGATGTCCCTGCTCACCGCAGGGGGTTGGACTGGATGGCCTTGAAAGGTCCCTTCCCACCCAAATTGTTCCATGATTTTACGAAAATGCCCACTGTATGCAAAAACGCCCATTATATTAGCTCTAAAAGCAAACTGTTATTCTGCCCTGTAGTAATAGCTGTAAAAGCTTAGTTCTGCAGTATAATTAAGTGGCAAAATAAGCATTACAGTAGTTGTATTTTAAGAAATGGATCCACTGTCGGTATGTAGGTCCAGTTTATGGATTTTTTTGCTACCAAAGTCAGATCTATGGCTCAGGTAAAATATGTTTTTCCTAGTACAGGGTTACAAGTCCTTGGCTTCCAAGACAAACATATACCTTCCAGCTATGCAAGCCATTTCTGAAACAAATTAATGCCTTCGATCCAGAAGTTGTCATCAAGTGTGAAATCTTGATGCTGCAAGTAATAGAACACCACTCTGTGACAGCCTTTTCGAGACCTTCCATTCTTAGCGGTTGTATAGTGCAAACCTCTTTCCTGCCAGCTGGTGTTTTGTGAGCAGAATTTAAGGTTATCCTTGTGAATGCGTCAAGTTGTTCTTCTAGTTTGTGATTGCATGTGTAGCAGCTCCTTGAAAACCCACGCTAGATTTTATTGTATAGGTCCCTGGATATCTCCTAATAATCCCAAGTTACTAGCAGTGAGTTTTGTGCAGATGATATTCTTTTAATGGTCTCTTATTTTCAACCAGAAAAGAAAAAAAATTTCAGGCTTTTTCCATGATCTGTTAGTGAGGGGTTTTCATCCTTTTCTCTGTCCTGCTTCTCTGATCCATTTTTTTCATTTGTGATCCATTTTCTAATGCTAGCCTGACAGCTACGTTATCAAACATTTGGAGGACACCTGTCTGTGTAATCCCAAAGAAGTGTCCTGACCCAAAAATCTTGATACGGTGCTGTGTCAAAAGTATAATTATAAAGTATGATATAACCGACTGGTAGGTTGACTCAAAAAATTGTATCAGTTTATACCTTTGACTTAATACTGTTGCTTAATAGAGGAGTCCAGTTACAGAACACCGTTAAGTCTCGAATGTACAGGGTCCAGAACAAAGGAAAAAAATTTTAGGCCATGTAACTAACATAATCACAAGGAATACATCTGTGCTCAGTTAATGGGAGAGTGAGGAGGAGTTTAGGCAATAAATATACTAGGGGGGGAACACAAGATATTAAGGCAGTGTCGATTCAAAAAAAAACCAAAAAACCTTCAACCTGCCGTTAAAGGCAAAATTTTTATTTTTTTTAGACTTCCTTATTTTTTCCCCACTGTGCATAAACCCCTGGACTTGTTGAGGGAAACAGAGGTGTTCAGGGGGTGGTTGATGCAGACCTGGGAGTTGCCTGCTGTAGGCGACTGAGACCTTTAATGCAGTCACTATGGTGTCAATGTTAATTGACACTTCTACTTCAATGCTCATGCGCCCATGTGGGAGAACCTTTATTTTTGGAGGCAATATCGGTGTTCACAGACTCCTCTTTTCAGTAAAATCTGCACAATAAGGATTGGTTAGATAGGATCCTTGCGATCGGGCAAGGTGTTTTATAGACTGACAGTTGTGTGTGACTAGATGCCAAAAGATTTACCCTCTGTCCCTCACTTGCCCCCTAATCAAGTAGGCATGTGAAACGAATCTTGTGCTGCAAGACTGGGGAATATTAGAAGTGGTTGTAGGAGTACCTGAGACTAGATTGTCATGGCACTTGCCATTCTGCAGTCTTTCCAGTTGTGTGAATGGCTTTCTGGTCTTTGTGCCTGTTCCTGCAGAGAGCTGAGAAGTCAGAATCGGAAGGCCACTACACATCGCTTTTAGCTTTAACAGCACAAGACTTTCTAAGCCTAAGCAGAGATCCCAGACCTCTTCAGGCACTTAAATGCGATGTTTAAAGAGTTCTGGAAGGAGCTAAGGATGCCATTTTGTAGTCTTTACCTAACGCTGTCTGGCACAACAGTCCTCCCAAGCCAGTGTAGTCCAACTTTTATCTTCTCATCGCTGCCAGTGGAACTTGGCTTATGATTAAGTTAGACTACTAAATGATTCTTAAAGAAAAAACTGCCAGCTTTGAGAATACCAGTGTTCTTTCGCAGAAAAAAGCACCCACGATGCTCAGGGCTTGTGCCCTTCTGCAGCTGTCCTGTCCTTTTGTCCCATATACGTCTCTTACCCTTGCTCTGCTCCTCCACAGCCATGCTCAGTCCCTGGCAGCGCTGCAAGCCTACGCGCACTGGCTCGCACAATTCTACAGCGAAGTTCACCGGCAGAACCCGGAGCAGTTCATCTCTCTCGTCTCTACTGCTCTGGAGGCAATCACACCCCTCATCAGCTCTAAGGTACCTTCGTCAGTGGAGCAGGAAGCTCTCAAGCAGCCGTGCTGTTGTGTTCTACTCTGGACCACACCGTGGCTCCTGATGTGAATGAGGAGACATTCACAGGACAGATGGAGCTGGATGTCTGTCTGCCAGCGCCACAGCAAATGTCTCGTTTAGGGTGAGACCAAGAGCAATTCTAAATAGCACTATACATCAAGCTACTACGAGAGTAAAAAAACTTACTGGCATATAAACTCAGTCTGAAAGCAGGGAATTCTCTTCCAGAGTGTTAAGGGAACTGACCTGTGCTCTGGCAAATAAATACCAAAACTGTCCTGCTTGCAAAAACCTGGTGATGGCAGCTCACTGTGCTGTCTGACGCCAGTGTTGCATCGTATTGGTTCTGTGTGGTGGTGTTACTGGGCAGCCTGACCATCCTGTCTTTCAGGTGCAGGAGAAGTTGCTGCTGTCTGCATGCCACCTGCTAGTCTCTTTAGCCACCACAGTGCGACCGGTGTTCTTGATCAGCATCCCAGCAGTACAGAAGGTGTTCAACAGGATCACGGACACTTCTGCTCAGCGGCTTCCTGATAAGGTGATTTGTCTCAAACGTGAAGAATGTAGATTAGGTCCTGGGGAAGCTGTGCCTCAGTTCTTTGTCTAGCGAGGTATCAAGGTATAACATAAGAAAAGTGTGGGGCAGCAGTTTTCTCTGTACTGTGGAGTACAGAGAAGGGACTGGGACCAGGAGTCCCAGTGATACCATTTGTCAGTGACCTATTTCAACCAACAGCATAAGGAAAAACATTATTGCAAGTCTTAGATCTTATTCCTTTCTCATTTGCTGACACAGTCTGTGACTCTGTGTCATCTTTACAGTACCGGCATGTTGTCTGTGACATACAGAAAGAGTTTTCTGTGAAACTTAACGTTAGCATTCCACATACCTCACTCCAAATTAGTATTTATACTACAGAAGTACTGAAAAGCCTCAGTGGAGGTTGAGATACGGTTGTATTGTGTGCTGGCATGGAGGCATGAAGTGCTGTACAAGCATATGAGCTTGGTGTGTAAACCAGACAAGGAGTAATGAAAGCGATATCATCTTTGTTTTATGAATATGAAGAACAGAAACGGTTGCACGGAGGGGCTGACAGAGCTGGGAGCTGGTTCCAGCCCTTAAGTCATGGAGCTCTGCTTCTCCCTGACCTTGCAGAGCTGCTAGCTTTCACGTGGGCTCACCTTCTGCTATTGAACTCTTTCCTCAAACAGTGAGAGCTGCTGGATGTCTTGCACAGCTGTAAAATGTCACGCTAGGGTTGGACTCTAGCATCAAGTGAATAGCAAACACGGTAAAATTTTGGTCTCTCTCCTTAACATCTCATTGCTTCTAGGCCCAGGTGCTGGTGTGCAGAGCACTGTCAAACGTATTGTTGCTGCCTTGGCCAAATCTTCCAGAGAGCGAACAGCAGTGGGCAGTTCGCTCCACCAACCACGCCAGCCTGATCTCTGCCCTCACGAGAGAATACCGCCAGTTAAAATCCAACGCTATCTTGCCACAGAGGAAGGTGCAGCTGGAGGACAGTAAGTACCAAGCTTCTTGGTGTGTGCTGTCTTCTGGCAGCTGCAGTGCGAACTGCTAAGCTGTTTCGCCAGTAATTATTTTGGCTGCGAAACTGTATTTAGTATATGGGGAGGACAGGAAAGGAGCGATTTGTGGGGTGGTTTTTTTTTTTTGAGAGACCCTTCTCTTGTGGGTGTGTAAAGGGCACTCTCACCCTGTGTTGCCTCTAAACTCTTCCATCAAAGTACTGTGTTTCTCAGTAGAGAGACAGACAGGGGAAGGTGGGATCAAGTTCGTGATAAAACTTTGAATAGCAGTGATTGCATTAGGAATACTTAACAGCCTAATGGTGGGATGCTATAGTAGAAACATTGGCTGGAGGCAGTGTTAATGAAGCTTATGGTTATAAAAACTTAAGGGGGAAAGTAAGAACTTCTTCTGGACTTAGGAAGTACTGTAGAGGGTTTATACATGGGGGAGAAGAGCCCTGAACTGAAACTGTCTAGCGACATTTGGAAGTTTCTCTGTACGTTTTGGGACTGCTTTGGGATGTGTCTTTTTTTTTTAATTGCTTTAAAAATTGTTTAGAAGTATGCAGTGTCACAGCTTCTGAGAAGAAGTCAGAAGTCAGCTGTGTGCAGGGAGGGAGCATAGGAGAGGTTGTTCCTCACGAGAAAATACCAGCAGACTGCTCACGTGGGTTGAACTGAGCCGGTTAAGTTCTCCCGGTGTTTGGGTTAGCTTATCGGCTGTTACTTTCAGAAACAGAAATCCACAGTATATTTTGCTGTCGTAACGTGCTGCTTTGTTCTTGGCTAGTGTTTCTTCAGCATTAGTGTATTGTGAATAATATTGTTTACAGCTCCCCTCAGCCTCTTCACCTGAGTAGCTGAGCAGTGGGTGCATCTGTAGAGCAGTAAACGTGTATAACTTAAGAAAGCGAGTAGTGACAGTGACCTAATCGAACCTGTTTAAAGTGTGAACATGCACTTGGGAACGTTTTTTACTCCAGCCTGGGTTTGTATGTGCCGCCTCGTAGGTTGTTTTACTTACTGTGTATGTGAACTTGACTTCATTTCTTGCCTCTGAGTGGCTTTGACACATGCAGGAAGTATCACCTCTCTTATTTTGCAGCCAAAGTAATCATCCATCAGACACTCAGCGTTTTAGAAGATATTGTAGAAAGTATCTCTGGAGAATCCACCAAGTCTCGACAGATCTGTTATCAGTCGCTGCAAGAATCCGTGCAGGTCTCACTAGCCCTCTTCCCAGCTTTCATTCATCAGTCAGGTATAACCATAGGACAGGCTTTAATACTGTGAGTAGCTTTATGACTTACTGATAACATCCAAAGTCCATCAGCGTAGAATCGTGGTGGTGTTCCTGTGAAGTGTGTGGGTTTGATGTCCTTTAAGCATGAGTCTGTACTTTTGGGTGAGCTGGACTGAATCAGAACAGGAAAGGGAGATCTTCTCTGCCATCTAGGATACAGGCATGGAGGTTTGTCACGCTTCCAGAAGATGGAGGTGCCTTGTGTTGTGTTCAGCAGTGAAACAAGAATGGAGCTGATCCTGAGCACAAAAAAACCCCCTTTAAAACACCCTGTCTGGCTATGTTTGCCATTTACATTCTCTCCAGAGCTTGAAGACAAAGAGTAGAAGATCTCATCAGATTAGGTCCAATGATGTGGGGTTTTTTTTCCCCCTCTTGTAAAGGAAAGGCTCCTGAGGTGTAACCACCAGGACTGTTGCTGGGCAATCTTGTGGCCAGCGACTTACATTTTGTATCACATCGAGGTAGCTCAAATGCCCAAGGCTACAGCAGCTTCTCGCACGAAGAGCAAGGCATTCCAGGACAACTTTTGGAGCTAGGTGGGATTTTCTCAGTGAAGCAGGCATGGGGGAGGCAAAACAAAGCTGAAGTGCAGAGAGGATCCAAGACAGCAAGCTGCTGCTGTGATTCCAGTGAACTGTTGTCTTTGGAGCAGGCTAGCAGCCTCATGCAACTGCTATTTATTGGCTTCTAAAAGGCTTTATGAAGGAGGAGTTGAGCAGCTTCAGCTTACCGTGGTTATTCACTAAGGCATGTTGGGACTGATGAAGAATTAGTTGCAGTGCTGATCAGTTAACCGCAGAAGCACGCGCTGAAAATGACTTCTGAAGTCAGAAGGGTCTCTTCAGTTCCTGCCAAAAAAAAAAAAAAAGCTGGATTCTGCCTCCTAGCCACCCCAAGCTGTGTGGCTGTTTTGGATTTCCTTGTATTTCCTGTTAACCCTGTACGAGCAGTGAGCAGCTGGAGATCGGCCCAGACCGTCGGCAGAGCTTTCCATGTAGGCAGACCAGACTAAGGGCCTTGGTGATAGTATCGTATTTGTTCCGAGTTGTTTGGTGCTGCCTGTACTTGTCATCCTGGGCAGTTTTCAGAAATGGATGAATATGTATTTTTTTTTTAAGCCCTGTAGTACCAGCTGTTGGTTTCAGACTCTAATGGCAACCCTGCTGCTAAACTTCCAAAAGTAAATAGGGTTCCCTGTACAGGAGGGGCAAATATAACGTAGAAGACTTACTGATGCATTTGAATGTTACCTTAACGTGTTCTTTGCTTTCCTGTTCTTGTCTTAGATGTGACAGATGAGATGCTGAGCTTCTTCCTCACTCTATTTCAAGGACTGAGGGTGCAGATGGGAGTGCCTTTCACGGAGCAGATCATACAGACCTTCCTAAACATGTTCACCAGGTATTGTCCCATGTTGGTCACTTCTTTCTTATCCCTCGGGATGATTCATCTTGGTAAGCTGCTCACGCCATGGGTCCCTGCCCCTAAAGAGTGTAGTGTTTTCAGCTTCAAAGCGTGTCCAGATCTTGTCACATCCCAGGATTAAATCTGAGGAAAACTCTTCAATGCACATCAATCATACATGCCATCGTGCAGTTTTAGCTCTCCCACGGGCTTTCTGGAAGCGTGTTATACTGAATTGGAATCTCGCATTGCCTGCTGGCTCCTGCGCAAGATCTGAGGGTGCCCCAACAATCTCTCACGCTTTTGTTGGGGAAGGGGGTCTGTCAAAACCTAGCTCCCTTCTGTGGCTTAACATACTTGGTCTGTATTAGCTGAGCAAATTTAGAGGCACTGCCTGCTTGCCTTTAAGTTTGGTAGGCATGCAGATTTCTGGGAAAGTTCCTATGCAATGACTTTGGTTTTTGTCATAGAGAGCAGTTGGCAGAGAGCATCCTCCATGAGGGCAGCACTGGCTGTCGGGTGGTGGAGAAGTTTCTGAAAATACTGCAAGTGGTGGTACAGGAGCCAGGCCAAGTATTCAAGCCTTTTCTACCCAGCGTCATCTCGCTGTGCATGGAGCAGGTCTACCCCATCATTGCAGAGGTAGGGCTTGAAGCAGGGGAAGGGAAGGCCTTGCTGGGGGTGTGGGAGCGATGAAGCTTTTGGCTTTCCAAGACCTATAAATGTCAGTCCCTGGGCAGGGAAAACCGGGTGACTAGGCAATGGGAATTGGAAGCAGTGTGGGTGGAGGATTTTGTCAGGCATTGTCAAAGAGGCTAAAACTACGGACGTGCTCAAAGCGGGAGGACAAACTCAAAACTCGATGACGTGTTCTTAGCATGATCCAACAGCTGCGGAGTTTGGCGTCTGCCTTAGGAGGAAATGCTTTGATGCTCTGGTACCTTGGCTGCAAAATGCTGCCCTGGGTGGCCAGCGGGCAGGGTGCTGCTAGTGGTGGGATCCAGGACACGGGTGGGATTCCAGCACAGGAGCCTGCTTAGAGTTGTTTGTTCTCCTCTCCTCCTAGCGCTCATCTCCTGATGTGAAAGCAGAATTGTTCGAGCTGCTTTTCCGGGTCCTCCACCATAATTGGCGGTACTTCTTCAAATCTAGCGTGTTGGCTAGTGTCCAAAGAGGAGTAGCAGAAGAGCAGATGGAGAACGAAGCACAGTTCAGTGCCATTATGCAGGTAATTCGGCTGCTCCCGTGGTTTGCCAGAACCCTTTCCACAATGGAGCATATGCTGGCGGTGGCAGTGCGTTAAACGTGTGGCTTGTGGGGGCTTGACTACGTCTTGAGTGAAGTCTTGCCTTCAGGAACCGCTGAAAAGCAAAGTACTTGCAGAGCAGTCTTGTTGATGTGCTCACAAGGCACAGTACCTCACCTGAGCGGGGAAGCCAGCAGCAAGGAAGGAACGTTAATTCCTTTCCATGCCTCATCCTTTATCTGGACCTAAAAATATATTGCTGATGCTGACCCATTTACTTCTGTTATGAGTCTTCTTGTTAGCACTAGGACAAATTGTCAGTGCAGGAAGGTTTTCCTGAGACCAAGGTGTCTTTTGGTTTACATGGACTTGTTCTATGCTGTACCATCGGATCTGGTAGGGAAGGGTCAGTGGGATAATACCATATAGGCTTTGGCCTCGGGAATAGGGAAGGCAGAGGCAGTATGCTAACACGTACACGGAGGCAGCAAATTTTTAAGAATAACAGACTGTATTCCACAAGTTACTTAAATCAGACTTGGCCAAATGAGTTCCCGTGCAGTTCCTAAATGTAAGAACTGTCCCCAGAGCAGGTAGTGCAACTTAAAGTACAATCAGGGGATAAAAAATCAGCCTCCTAATCTGTTACTGGAGTACCTTCACCTCCAGCCCGTGGCAGTGTAAACAGAAGCATGTTTGCACCATGCTCTGCAACCTCAGAGTAGGGCTTGCTCGTCCGAGGGCAGTGAACGCCGGAGCGGAGGGCCATGTGCTTAGACTTCAGGTGGGAGGACTTTTTGCAGAGCTGCCCCGCCATGGAGACTGGATCCCTTCTGATACACAAGTGAAGAGGGAGCTTTTGTGTTGAGGAGATTGCTAGCTTGGGTGCTGGTTTCCACAGGAAATCTGGGTCCAGAAATGGCTCAGTCTTGAAGGAACTTGGGCCATTTTTGTCCATCTAACAATAAATGGCTGATATGGGGAAATAAACTCCTCTGTTTGTGATGCCTTGGAGCAGCTACTGGTAAAAATTCTGCTGCCTACCTGTGTACAGAAGCCTCTGCAGGCCTACCAGACTAGTTGCAGGGTCCAGCAAATTTTTTTCCTAGGCTCTTTCCTGCTTCTGTAATGCCCAGGTCAGCCTCCGGCTCCCATCTCAAACTTATTTCTAATGTAGTGCAGTAACACGTTAAATGCACCCGCCAGTCACCTTTGTCTCTTGACCTAGATTGAGAACAAAACCTGCGCGTGTGTTCTGGTTTTGTTCATGCGCACTGCGCTACCTTAGGTAGCATCGCCGAGAAACAGCCAAATCCTTCATGAGCCTGCCAAGGGAGCCGTGCTCAGAATCTGTGTTCCTCTTCAACACAGGCTTGGCTGCCTGTTCCCAACGGACCCAGCTTAGCAACTGTTCTGCAAGGATATGAACGCGTTTCCACCGAAGTTTCTTGATTCCCGTCGGTCTGGCAGCAGCATGGTTGACTTAACTGCCTGTCTTACTAGTTTGCTGCACTGAGAAGCAGCAGAAGCTCCCAGGGGTTTGTTCTGGTGTCAGGGTGAAAATGATGTTGTTCTGCCTGGCAGGTCTGATACTCATTGTAATATCAGTTCCCTTCCTTCAATTCTGCTTCGTTCGTAGGCATTTGGCCAGTCCTTCCTGCAACCTGACATTCACCTGTTCAAGCAGAATCTCTTCTACTTGGAGACGCTGAACACCAAGCAGAAGCTGTACCACAAGGTGGGTCCTCATTGACCGGTGTGCACTCGGTGCGTGGTAATAGGTGGGTGCTGTTCCAAGACCTGTTTTAGACTTCAGTTTTAAACTGAAGGTCAGGATTTGGGGGCTTTTATGCCACAGCCTTTGGTTGGTTGCTGTGATCCCAATGGATACCTTGCTGGTCAGAGCGGCATTACCACCTCCCCGATACAGCTGCAGTGGTCAGAGGAGGGATCCCAGCTCTAGTCAGTCAAAGCAAGGCCTTGATGTGTTCCCTCTTGTGACGATGAGGGAAAGCAAAGGACACGCACAGTGACAGTGCGATTTGTCTGAGGAAGTAGAAGCTGGGATCATCAGTGGGACAGAGGTGGCAGAGTCCCTCCATCATTCTCATCTGGATCAGCAAGCAGTGTACCTAGCATTTACAGTCGGTCACTGCCAAGTGGTTGTCTCCATCGCTGCCGTGTAGACCCATCCTCCAGACCTTCTAATTTAGACCTGTTAGCTGCTGTCATGAAGGATTGAAGTTGGAATGCAGGGTCTTGTCCTTCTGGTTAGCCTGTGAAAGCAGAGCTTTCAGGTTTGCATCTGTGGTCACAACTCAAGGACGGCCCATCGTGTTAACAGCTGCCTGTTGCAGGCTTTCAGGCAGCTAGCCAGGTTCCCTGGCTTTCGGGAGCACTGTGCAAGGCTAAAACTGGCTGGAGTTTGAACGGGACTTGATGCTTGTTTTCCTTAAATGCCAATGCTAAAAACTCGGGTCAGGTGCGTGAGGTAAGTGCAGCGAAATTCACCGTTAGCTGTAAAGCTGATATTAATTTAGGTTATTGTAGCCATTTGTGGGCTTGGCTTGGAAAACTACCTCTGTGCTCACAAGGGTTTGCAGACCCCACTGATAGCTCGGAAGCTGCTGGTGTTGAAGCGCCCTGTGCGGCCACGCTCGCTTGCCTGGTCTGACCTCGCGGGGTTTGTACCTCCAAAGCTGTGTGCTGGCTGCTGTGGCCCCTCTTGTGGGGGAATTGCTGGTGTGAAGACTCCTAACTCTGTGCTTCTCTCACTGTGCAGAAGATCTTCCGGACAACCATGCTGTTCCAGTTTGTGAACGTGCTACTTCAGGTGCTTGTCCACAAGTCGCATGACCTGTTGCAGGAGGAGATTGGCATTGCCACCTACAATATGGCCTCAGTGGACTTTGATGGCTTCTACTCTGCCTTCCTCCCCGAGTTCCTGGCCAGTTGCGATGGCGTGGACTCAAACCAGAAAAACGTGCTGGGAAGGAATTTCAAAATGGACAGGGTAAGGAGGGGAAGCGGTGCGGTGGAGTGCCGGTACTCCCAGGTCGCGCAGAGTTTTTCTCCTAGGATGCGCTGGCAGGCAGCCGTGAGCCGCTCAGGGCGGCGTGTTGAGGCGGCACCGTCCCTTCCATACCCAGCAATGCCTAGCCAAGGATTTTCCACTGTAGGTAGCAAAGCTGCCATCTCATCTCTCAGGCTGCTGAATGCTGTGGGAGTTAGGGAATATGTTTCCTGGAGGAAGTTTTCATAGGGGTAGACAGACATTTTCCTAGAGTGGGACACTGAGATCCTTGCCAAAGTCTTGCTCCAGCTGCTGGCCAGATGTGACCTGGTTACAGTGAAGACAACAGCAGAGTAGCCGCAATGGCTCATGATTCTTTCAAACCCCCCGACATGAATGTGAAGCAGATGGGGCGGAGGGTCTGTAACCTCCCTGTGGAACATCATGGCAGTGCAGCAGGTTGTGGCTTCCATCTCCTGAAGCTTGCTTGACCATTGAGTGTTTCCTCTCCCATGGGAGATGGAGGGGATATGAAACCAAGGGTTGAGGGCAGGGAAGGAGCCTTGGGAGAATTCACCGGACTGCTCTTCAGGAAAACTGGCCCTTGTTATGGGGGACGTGGCACCCAGGAGCCTTGGCAGGAACGCAGTGAGCAGTTGCCGCTGCAGGTGGCCATGTTGTGACCTGACGGCACACCGAGGCGCCGCTGCCGCGAGCAGAACCCAGATCTCCGCAGTCAGCGCTCTGTGTGGAGCCGTCTCTGCTCCTGCTACGGGGGCTGCAGAAATGGGGGTTTCCTGGGCTCAGGCTCTGGGAGAAGGGGTCTGTTGCTCTCATGTGTGACAATACACGTGTTTGGCCCTCTCGGTTCCTTTCTGTTCTCTGCTGTAAGACCGTGCTTGCAGGTATCGCTCTGTTTGCAGTACAATGTGGTGTTTGATCTTTTCCAGGATCTGCCATCGTTTACCCAGAATGTGCACAGACTGGTGAATGACCTGCGTTACTACAGACTCTGCAATGACAGTTTGCCCCCTGGAACTGTGAAACTATAGTTACTGCACTGGACTCGTGTTTTGATCACTGTAGGGAACGGATCCATGTTTCATTTTGCCACCACCTTCTCTCCTCCCTGGTTTTGTCAGGACGCGGTGTCTTGCACATGGGCACATCTTCTCGGATTCACGCACCACGCTTCCTTCCCCCCCGCCCCTTTCCCAACCCAAAGGCCCCCAGATGGAGTCGTCACTGTCTGCAGGATGTGTCTTAACGCCCAACCGCAGGGCGCCTCAACTGTACGGAAAGTCCTCTTGCTGGGGTTTTGTTCTACTAACGTAGCACTTTGTTGCATCCGGAGATTTCTGTGGAGTCGTCTTGAGAGATCATGTACGTATCAAACGTGAGGCAGAAGCGCCAAAGACTACTTCAGACATTCGTACCTTCGTGTCATTCCACCTTCCTGCCCCTGCCCAGCTCTCGGAGGAGGAGACTCGTGATGTTGGGACTGTTTTGGCACTTCTGTCACTCCCTTTGTTTTTAAATTGCCTTGAAAACCTCCCCGCTGTTTGTGGGGATTAGAGACTTTTTTGGGGTTTTTTTTAAACGTTTTCTCATCATTCCATTGTGATACTAAAACAACATGCTTAATGGAAATAAAGTGCTTACTTTGTTGTTTTAGATAACTTGTAACTTGTTTTAGTTTCCTTGTAGGCCTGCCTGTCACCAAGCTGTTCCAGTAGATCAAAAAGCATTTTGTGCTGCAGGCAGCGATCTGCAAACCTTTCTCTGCAGTCAGGCAAGAGGACAGACAGCAGGTGTCTGCGTTGCCCGTACTGCACCCTGGGTGCCGAAATGCCCTGTCCCAGCTCCCAGCAAGTCCGTTGGCTCTTGAAAAGTGCTGTGCTGAGCTGGTGCAAGATCAGTGTTGGCTTCTTTCTCCACTCTCCCCTCACTCGTGTTTACCACCTGTGTTCCCTGGTGTTTTCTGTTACCTGTTGTGGTGATCTGTTTATTCCCCCAGGGCTCTGTTGTCCGAATGGATCAAGAGCTGCCTCGCAGGAAGAAAATCTCCTAACGTTCATGGCGTTGCATCATAGGAGACCCGAGCTGAAGGCCAGAGTGACCCAACAGTGGCATCTGGGCAGAAGGTTAAAATCCCACTCGCCAGTCAGACAGCACCCGGTTTTGTGGGGCTTGTGAATCTCTGATCATGCAGCTGGGAAGGATTTGTGTGGGTTTTTTTTTTTTCCCCTCTGAAGTCAGGTAGCTAGTATAGAGCTTTAAATCAGTCTTAATTCTCTGGGGTTACCAGGGCAGCTGCAGCAAGGGCTGCCTGGCGGGAACAGCACTGGTCACTGAAGGGAGCAAGCCTGGAGGAGGTGTTTGTGTGTGCCATAAACATTTGTAGAGGTGGATTTGAGTGAGATGAGCATGTGGACAGCTGGGAGGTATCAAGGGTGAGCTGGAGCGCAGAAGCGCTTGCTCCATGGCTCCTTTAGTTACAGTTTTGTGAAAAACGTCCTGCGATGTATGTGTTTGCTGTTTGGAGATAACATATGCTGTTTGGATAACCCGCATACAGACAGAGCCATACATCCAGGCTCTCTGAACTGGGACCAGTTTGATATTTGGATTTCCATACCCTGCAGTGAGCAGCTTCAGTTGAAAGTTGCCTGTGAACCAGAGTCCAGCTGGCCGAGGACGTGCCTCACCGGGTACGGTCCTTGCAATCGCTTTCTGCAGAGGTCACGGATGTGCAAAGACCAGCATGGAGGTGGGTGATGGTCTGGAACCAGACTGCAGGGTGAAAAGCACCCAGCTCCCGCACACCCGAACCTGCCGCTGGCTCTGGAGTAACTTGGGTGTCGCTGTCTGCACTTGAAACTTTGAGTCCTTGTTTTTCCTGGTGGTTATTAGGTGTATGAAAGTGCGGTGCAGGCTCCAAACCTGTCCCCAGCAGTGGTATCTGTCTGGCGCGGTTCCCCACCCCGCACGGTGCCGTGGCTGGTGCTGCTTCCCTTGCTTGCAAAACGTGTGGTTGACAGAGGGTGAAAGGGTGTGTTTTCCCCTTGGTCAAGGGCAGCAGCTGGAAAGTGGCCAAAGCCCAGGCTGGAACCTTCCAGCCCTTCTGCTAGAAGCTCCTTCTCCCTTGCCAGCCATCACCTGAAGCCCTCTGGATATGTATCCAAGGGTGCCCGATTTCTATCTCCATCTGTCTTCATCTTCCACAAAGACACCCCTTCCTCTGTACCCTCACCCCTGGTGCAGCAGACAGGGGCGAGGGGCCTTTTACCCCCTGGAACCCCCTCTTTGGGTGGGTGTCCCCAGCTTCTGGCCAGGAAAAAGTCTTTGGCAAGAGCGGGGCTGAGGGGCCGCTCTGGGGCTGGGGGCTGCCAGGGGCTCTCCCTTGCCTTGGCTGAGCCCACCAGGGCCAAAGCACGCAGCAGATCTGTTGTTTC